TTTCCAATTCTATTGAATTAGGCTGCTTTCTCTTCCCTTATTTTCATAGATAGCATAGCTTTATCTAAAATAAGAGAACGTTCCTAGCTATTGTAGGTAAACCTGTGAGGTAGGATCAGTCTCAGAAGCCACTGTCTCAAACTTACTTACACAGCCACAAATGTGGGGTTAATATTTTGATTGGCACTATTCTTTTGAGATGCTGTGCTTCTCCTCCGAAACGGATATTACTCTTGTCTGAAGTAAGCTTGAGTAAGCTGAGACTTGAGTGCACAAATTGCTAATGCTTACTGAAAATCGATGGAAGATAGGCACCAAAAGCAATTAGGCAGCTTTGAAAATCAATCCCCAGTTGAAGTTGTCCAAGGACAAGGATTAGATATTTGTCAGAGCTGAAGTCTTTGTGGGAAACATCCTGGCACAGTGCCAAGTTCATGACTCTTTGTTCTACATCTTTTCCAGTCTGAATTCATATATAAAAACTTGTGTATGATTTGCTTAAACTCTGCTTGTTTGTTATTTCTTCCAAATTTTGTTATTTTTTTCATAGGGGCGATCATGGTGTTGAGGTAAATAATTCAAAATAGAGCACAGTTGGTAATAACCAGTGCAGCCAGAATCCACATGCAATTTGTCTGTATGAATTGCCCAAAATAGGTTTTGGATTACTAGGTGTTTAAAAGGCCTTTTCCCCCCCCCTGTTGATCTACTATACTTCTTGTATTTGGTCATTCTGTAGGGCAATACCATGTTCTCAGCCTGTTTGTTCATCTGGGGTTTCAGCAAAGCTTTCAGACTTACCTAGTATTTTTAGACATAGAACTGCAATGTTTTAGTATGGCAAGCACTGTGAAACAAGTTCAGGCTTCTTAGAATATATACATGGCCAATTTGTTCTAAGTAATTACAACAGGTAAATAAAAAGGTTTGGGGTAATAATTCCAGAATGGTAATACTCCCAGAAATTCTTGTTTCTTCAGTAATAGTTTGTCAAGTAATTTGTCAGTGGAGAAGTAGCAAAGCAGGGATGGGGGTGGTAGGTGAAGTATAGCTTATAGCTCTAGGCAAAATGAATTGATTATCTTACATATTCCTGTGCACGTTTCTTGTATTATAGTCGGGAGTATTCAAATTTTGTGGCCAGATGAGCAGAGGTAAAGTCTTACCTTTGTGGTAGAGTGTGCACTGCTTTGTTGAGCCTGCAAGAGTGCAGGCTCAAACACACAATCCCAGAACCAGGGCAGTCGTCTTTAATGCACAAGTTCCAAATGTGGCAAATAGATCTTTAATTACTGTGTAAGTCCCTAAAGAAAAGGTACTTGGAAAGCAGTGTGTCTTGCTTCTCTCTGAAGAGCTTTGGTCTGCTTGTAATTAATGCTGAAAATACTTTTTCCCTTCTGAATACTACTACTGAAGAAGTCCTGGATTCTTCCTCTGAACACATTATTTTTAATTAAAAACATCATTGTGTGTGTAAATGGGTATTTACGTAAATAGTAAAGCACAAAAATCTACTTCTAAAATGGCATTTGCTTTAATATCTTGGTCATACTAGATGTAGCAGGATGGCTAACACAATGATTTGAATATACCCTGGGTTTTCTGTTTGTTTTTTTTGTTTTTGTTTTTTTTTTTTAAAGCAGCATTATTGGCTTTAATATGTGTTTAAGCATATTGTTATTGATTAAATGCTTTCTGATTGGCAGGGCTGGGATGCTTTGTTAGTTGCTTTTTTCAATAGTGTATGATGCCGTCTTCTACTGCATTTGCCAGAATGAGGAAATTATCTGTGATCATGTTTATGGAGGGATCCTACTGGGGTAAAGAACAAGAGCTGTTTTCTAGATTTCAGAAGTGAGCTGTTCTCCAACATTCCTCCCAACTTTTTTTTGAAACATCTCTGTTGGAGATGATTAGGTGTAATCCACAAGACAAGTAAAGGCTCAGCAAACTAATTTTTTTTGTTCTTTCTCTACCTCGAGCAATTCTTCTCATAGTTATTGCACTTCAGCAGTTGATTTTTTTTTTTTCTTCTTTTGAACTCTGCAATGAAGACGTAACTATTGCGCTATCAGTTTGTTCTGTATGCCCTGGCTGCCCACTGCATCTGTACCCTGGGTATGCTCTGCTGTCTAATAGAAGATGAGTCTCTCAGGTTAAATCACTATGTATTATGAATCAAAAATAAAGCTCTGTTGAAGGACTTTGTCCTCTTGGCTGCTTCATTGTGAGTGTTAATTGCTCTAATCTGGTGGGTACAGGTAGTGCACTTTTCTAGATGAAGCCCTTAAATACAAAGAGAACTTAAATATTTAGTGGTTATTGAGAGATGTAGTAAGAATTGTTCTTGTTACATGTTTACTCTGGCACATCCTTTTGGTGTTGCAGTTATTTGACAGAAAATGATGACTACCATCTGTTCCCCTCCTCTCTCATCATTCAAAGTTCTTTTTCTCTTTGAGAATGAAGTCTTCATAGAGAGATAACAAGTTTCTTCCTGTTTCCATAGTCACAATTTATTAAAAAAAAAAATTTTTTTTTACACTCATACATGTTTTTGTTCATGCTGCCCTTACTACTTGGAGTCATGATCCTAATTTAAATTTACAGCATGCACCTCCTCTTACTGTCTTGCAGATTGTCAGAAATTTTCTTTGCAATCTTTATATTCATCATTTCCATCTCCGCACCTTCTTTTAACTGAAAGATTGTTATGTACTTTGTTCTTACATACTTTGGAGTGCAAGATTTCAAACTGTTTGCACTCTTTTTTTTTTTTTTTCCTTCCCCTCTAAGGCACTGCATACAAGTCAATTCTGCATGTGTTAATAATTAAAGGCTTTAGTAACACAATTTTCTGACAGCACTAATACAAAAAGCTTGTAAAGCTGCTAGTTAAAGATGATCTTTCCCTCTCTGATTTCATGGAAGAATCTTAAGAAAATTAGACTAATGGAAAATCCCACAGTAAACAGAAGGACACATGCTGTGCTGTACCACCAAGCAGTATGGGATGAATCCGAGTCTTATCTAGAGATCAGACTGGGCAAAACACTGGCCATAATACCATTGCAGGGGAGGAAGGCAACCTTTTACTCTTTAGTACTTGAGGATTTAGTGAAGCTAAAAATAGTGCCTCAATTTCCTTTAAGGCATGAGGAACAATTACCTCGATCTCATTTCCTTATCTGTAATATCTCAGTCTTTTGGTTCACGTGCACTTTTTTCTACCCCTCTGTAAAATGCAGATGCTGGCATAGGATGAGGAGATTCATCTCGTTATTGCTAGAAACTCTGGTGGAAGGCAAAACAGAACAATGTGCTATTTGTAATTTCTTTTCAGACATTTGAAATTAAATGTGAAGTAAAGCTTGAGATCTTCTTTGGAGTCTATTTTATTGGACTGTGTCACTTAGTTGGCTGAACAGTAGCTACGAACTGTTTTAAAAACTTTTTTACTGGCATGATATCCTTCCCTTTTTTAACTGTAACATGCGATTTGAGAGAGGTCTGTCTAGGAGACCCATCTTTCAGCTGTGTTCACCCCCAGGTTGGATGCCAGGCTTCTGTTGCTTCTCTGCGTTCGTGCAGAAAAACCTCTGTTACTGTTGTTGGAATTTGAGGGTCATTAAATAGGCTAAAGGCTGGATAGGATAAATAGGATAAAATCTGCATGATCTAACCTTAATGTTGTAGCTATCAAATGCATTCTTGTGAAATTTTAAACAGTTCTTTCACCCTTAATTATTGTGACTGAACAGTGCTGATTTAAGAATCCTTTAGCAGCTCTTCTGTCTGTAGAGTCCTAAACAGAAATGATTGCAGATGGAGAGTAGATCTCCTTTCCCCTGAATCCTGCACATAGTCTTTAGGTCACACTAACAGGTATCACACAGATCCTAGGTCGGATTCTGCCAGTTTGCATTTATGCAGCCCACAGGCTTTTTTTAGACTCTCTGAAGGAAGTGGGTTTGTTCAAGCATAATAGAAGCAAAGTAAGGAAAATTGAGATAAATAAGACATGTTTTTAAGAAGCACATAAGAATATGTTGGGCTTGGATTTGAAAGAGCACGCAGTGGCGCTTAAATATGTGTTCTTGTAAATTGAGTATTTTCCTCTTAAAAGATGTGGCGTGCAGTATTTTAAATTATGATTGTGAGATGAGCTTTGACTGGCCAGTGGTTGCATAAATATGCCTCCTTTGGGTGAGGCAAAGTGGGTAACAGTGAACTTAGTCCCATATTACTTTCCTTTTTTGCTTAGCTAGGCTTGGGTCTCAGTGCATGTTGGATTTCAGTGTAGTACTGAAGAGATGATACCACCTGATGGTCACTGTATCGTAGGGAAAAACTAGGTGGGAATATGTTGTATAAGGTACTCAGCTGCTCCCCTGGAATGAAGTGCCTCTGGGACTGACTGCCCTAAGTACGAGTTCTGGGTGATGCATACGGGTACCTCCAGAGCCTTTAATTAGCTCTTCGTCGATTGTTACAGTTGTCCAAGGGGCCGAGCAGATGAAGAGCTGCAAAGGAGCAGTGCCTCACTGCCGCAGGCATGGGGCGTTCTCTGTGGTGATGGAGGCGCACCCCCAACCCTGTCCCAGGTGCGGTGTGCCCCGCTCCTGGGAGAGGCCTGACCGTTCCCCTGGGAGAGAGAGCATGGCTTCTCCTTCTTTGGGGAGGTGACCCCTTTCCTTGGTTGTAGTCTTCTAGTTAGGTTCCTGCTGGCTGATTCCTGATTGTGAACAGTCTAGAAAAAGATTGTGGAACAGAATGATATCTCTTCCTGCTGTTTTGGAGATAGCATTGTGCACCACCTCCCTATGGCAATAAAAAATGTAAATGGTAAATTTCTTATCGAGACAAGCCAGAAACTCTATTGGATTTCTATTTCCTGTCTTTGATTTGCTTCCCTGCGTAGGATGCTTTATTTCATCCGATGCCTACCTCTCCTCCTTCCCTACAATGTTAATGTATCATTTTATGCTCACCTGGGAGATGTTATCAGTTGTATGCAAAGCAATTCCTGTGTTGCTAAGCTATTTTGAAGGTTGTCATAATGCTCCATAAACTACACAAATAGGAAGCTTTTCTTACACATATGTCTTCATGGTTTTCTCTCTGTTTCTGGTGCTACATAATGACAAAAAAGTAATGCCCGGAGATGGTAGGACATGGACTGAGGGTGAAGCTTCTGGGACTGTGCCACGTCTTAGTCCCTTATAGGCTGTCAGTGCTAGGGGACCCTGTTACAGGTTTCATGAGGTTTTTTAAGTCCTTCAGTGTGTTGTTTTCCTTCAGATCTGTTGGGAGGAGTAACCTGCAATTGCTGCTCTTCAGGCAAACTGATCTGTAAACAAAGACGCTGCGGCAGAGGGGTGCCTTTTCAGTAAAACCTAATGGGGGAGTTTATGTAACAGAACAAAAATAAATGGAAACACCACTTCTAAATTGAGCTGTTATTTCTCCTGCAGAGTAATTATTAATCAATAAACCTTGTATCTAACAGTGTCAGAGCGTGCTAAGCGCTCTGAGCTACCTTGTAGTCTGCTAGTAAACCGACCCTGGAGAGAAAATGTAATTAACTCTAAGCCATGATCACCTTTGGCATGTGTCTGAAAGCAGCATGGTCTCTTAGAGCTTTTGCATCACCCATGCTCTAGCTGGTTTGCACTGATATGGTTTAATAGCACGACTCGGAGTTGTGGGTTTTGTGCATCATTCAAGCCGTAATAGCTTGGTTGCATAGTGTTTGGGCCAAAACAGGTTTCTAGAAGTTAGGTTGAAAGTCTTCCCAGTTGCTTATTTCTCCAGTAACATGTTTCAGATAGATTCTAATGCTGCAAGGGAAAGGTGAATGATTACTAGTAGGACAAGATGGGGATTTTACCATTAAGCCATTTCATAGATGACCTCTCTAAAAAATAAATAGCACTGTTCTCCAGGGCATCTGTTACTGGGTGCTGATGAAGACAGGGCATGACACAGGACATAGCTTTGATGTAAATAATAATTGCTTTGCTCCTCTGCTGTTAGTGCGCAAACAGAGGACAGAGCAAATCAAAATGCAAAAAATGCTGAAAAACAAGAGTGTTTTCAACAAGCAGCATTAAGATACTGTAAGAAAGTTTGGGGGTTTTCTTGCAAATCAACGTGTTTCTTGAGATGCACTTGGCTTTCTTCAAGAGGAGCTAGGTTTTGGGCTATTTACTGAATCCATCACGCTTTCTTTCAAAACATGTTTTTAAAGTAGCAAAACAAAAACATTCTTCCTTGGGGTCTTTAGGATAAAAGTACTGTCTAAGGTATTTAAGTGCTGTCTACGAACAATATCCACCCTGGGGTACAGCAAAGTCTTGGAGTCTTAAGTACTTGACCATGGAATAAATGGAAATATTTCCTTCTAAGGTCTTGCCTTTGGTCGCATAGAAAGAGGAAAAAGCCAAAGCAAAACATGAACTCCCTTTGAAGTAGTCATTTTTAAAGGCAACATGCCAGCACGGTTGCATCGAGAGACTTCAGAGAATAAAAACACCAGCACTTTTTTCTTTAAATCTCTGAAAACTCTAAGTATAGAAAAGTTTTATTGTGCCTGTTTGTCCTTCCACATTCATGGTCCTGTATGGCTGTATCATAGAACAAATGTAAGGGGCTAATAAGTGCCATCTCATAAGAGCTCAGTAGTGATTAGCAGAGGAAATTCTGGTGCAGGTGCGTCATGACTGAGGCTGCTTTATGCTGTTCAAATAACACACGGGAGTTTTAGAGAACTAGCTTGAATAGCAAACTTGGGAAATCATTGAGTGCATTTGCTCTAAGTGGTTTCCTCTCAGCACAGGCTGGAGAGGTTGGTAGGAGCATGCTGCGTTCCAGTAACTCATCACTAGCAAAACAATCCCTTTGAGTGTGCTATGAACTGGTGCAAGTTAATATACTGCTGACGCACTTTGCCCTTTCTCTTCCTCCTGTGCAGTCAGAAGAAAATGTAGCCTAGTTGGGGCTTTAGGCCCCTGTGTTTGTTGTAATTAGGAATTTTACAGGCATTTTCAACGGAACTGAGAGAGATTGAATATAGAGAGCAACTTGGGATCTCTCTCTGTTAGCAAAAAATAATCCAACCAGTGTCAGAGACAGCTTCTTCCAAGTCAAAATGACATCTCATGCAAATCAATTTGTCACTGGTCCCAATTCTCTGCAATAGAAGACAGAACTTTTGTGAGACCTGAAATTGATTTTCATGCTTATTGCTGGATTGTAAACAAGCTCATCCTAATGTCTGTTTGGAATTAATTGCAAAAATGGCTATCTTTTCACATCGCGAGTTCTTTGTACACACAGTCCAGGGCAAATGCATGTGTTTGCACACAATGCCTCCCATGTCTTCTGCTGCAAAAATGATGATTTCTCAAGTCTCCTTGAGAGCAGATGGGGGAAGGAGAAATGTTTTTGTAGATCTGGGTACTCCAGTGACTTAGGACATACGAGTTTCTTGCTGGAGAATGGGCTAGGATTCTGTTCCTGTGTAAAGCAGTTCTGTGTTAGGCACTGTGCCTCTGTCACCGTGTCGACAGAGGCAATGGGGCTGATACAGAGAAAGAGTCCTCTGTTTTTCTAGGTACCACAGCCATCCTGCCTGAACAACGGGGCTGGCACTGACAGCAGCTCTCTTTTCTTTTGGCACGGCTGTTTGTCGTGGGCCTTTGTAAACATACTGAAGTTGGCCAAGAGTTTGATTTTTTCATATTGTAGTGTTTACATAGTTATGCTGGTGAACCTTTGTAGTCTAGACATGGCCTGAGTTGTGCTGTGATTTCAGGGAAGTTGCTGTTCTTCTCTGTTAAGACTTAGTAATAGAAATGCTATTAAATACTGTGGTAGGTATTATTTCTATGTAAAGTGCTTTGAGGTTTCTAAAAGCCCCTCCAGTTCTGCTCTGCAGTAAAATTTAATTGTGCTCTGGAGGCTCCTAGACTGCATTGGTTTATGTGTTGAGGCAAGCTGAAATTGGACAAACTTTTTAATTCAGGGGTAAGTTATGGCCTGAGCATGGCGGAGGTGGGAAAAGATTGTTGTCTTGTGCTCCAGAGAACATTGTGGAGAAAAACTAGCACCTCCTCAAACAACAGAAATTATGGAAGGACCAGTGAAACAAATGAACAGATCAAGTTCTTTCAGTGCCTATCATTCCCATTTCTCCAGCCTCTGAGGATTAAGGAATTTTAGGTCACTTTTTAAGGCTGTAGCACTTGCATGTCTAAGCAATAAATTTTTGTAGCTTGCTGTTCTATCTGCATAGTGCCTGACTTGTATACAAATGTTTTAGTGGGTGCTTATTCTGACCATTTTATTTATTGATTGTCAGGCATTAGAAATTAAACTCAAGAGGTTGACTAAAACGTGTCCTGTCACATAAAGGCACTTACAAGGCAGGTCAATTTACTCCTGTTATAATCATGTGAACTCCCGTTAATTTGTGTTACAATTCCTGTTTTGATCCAAGAATATCTTTGAGCAATTTCAGAGCATCAGATTACTCTGCAGCAGCAAAACTAACAAAACTTTCCAGCTCTGGAGAGAATGAAGACCGTTCTGTGTTGTAAACAATGCTTGCCCTATAGAAGTTTTGAAATACTTCATGTCTTATCAATTCCCCAGCAATTGAGTGTTTGAAACATGACATTCTTTAAAATTATGCATTAAAATGATGACAGTACTGTTCCCCAAACCACCTTACAAACATTTCTCATACTTAAAGGGATGCTTGAAAACATTAATTAGTAAAGAGAGTCTGAGTAACTTATTTTTTTCTGCCTTTTTTTTTTTTTTTTTTGTTAAGGTGTTCTGTTTGACTAAAGCAAAACAGCCCTGCAGTTGGGTTATGCAGATATGCTGTGAAATCAGGTTGTTCTTCACTTTGACGGAATTTTATTACTTGCGGAAAGTCGTTTTAGAGCCACGAGACCATGCATGTGGTCTTTTGTTTTTTCTTTAAAACAGTTCAGGGGGAGAAAGAAAGGGAAGGTCCTTCTACCCTTTGTACTGCTGTTCAAGGGTTATGTAAATATATCCCTGCCCCACTCCCCCAGGCTGATTGGGGGATACAAGGTGGTTTCACTAAGGCTCTTCACTTTTTATTCTCTATATATGTCTTGCAGGTTTTTTCCTTCCAAATCTGTAACAATAGATATGTGAGCCTTACTGAAGAAATGCTCTGCTTTGGAATTTGTGGGAAATCTAGAGCTTCAGAGGAAGAGAAAGCATTAAACTTGAGTAATATCCACAGTCACCTCCTTTACTGTTGAAGTTTAGCAGCAATCAGTGGCCACTGAGGAAGCCAACGTGACGTGTTTAATCAGAGGACTATTTAATTACCAAGCCATGAGATCTCTTGACTTGCTTTCAGTTCTGTTTTTACTAAATGTCTTTTATGCAAAACATTTAATTCCTCCCCATTTAAGTTGCGTAGGTTAAAACATCCTATTTCTGAAATTCTACAGAAGTGTTGATGTCCTGTGAGTGACAGAACACCATGTAGATCGAATCCTATCTTTAAAAGCAAGTAAACCTCTGTAGTCTTTACAAAGTATGTCACGTGTCTGAACTATCTGATTGGGCTTACCAGAGTTCTGTTCTTCTCTTGCAGGCATTATGCTGCTTGAAGTATTCCTGGTTCTGGGGACAGTCATCATCTACTTCTTACTTTCCAAGAAGAAAGAAGAGACATTACCCTTCAAAAATGGATGGTGGGGCAAGGGACAAAAGCCTGACACTGAAGAAGATACAACTATTTGGCCATTTAAGGTGGAAACTACAGAAGAAGAGCTGAGCGTAAGCAAATCTCTATACTGGGGAGAGAGAAGAAAGAAATGGCTAAATAAATGCAGAACTTGTTTGGAAGTAATTTTTAAATTGAACCCATAGTTACATTTATGAGAATGAGTAATGATGTTCAGGACTTGGGGGAAGGGATTTTTCAGTACTTCAGAAGATAGGTATGGATAGGCAGATTTCACATCCTGCTATACAATTTTGTTCTCAGCTGGCTGTTGCAAGATTGCTAGTAAATAAACATACTCTGTAAAGCCTAATAAACATAAAAATCTTCTTACAGATTACTCAACTCTGTGTTCCTGTTTGTGCACCTTCCTCAGTTTGATTGTGTAGACCAGAATAAGAATAATGTCTTTTGTCTTTTTTTTTTTCTTTTTTTCTTTCAAAAGCAATTACGAGTATCTCATTTTCTTGACTGCTTTATGTTTGCAGCTGTGTTGGATGCTGATTCTTCTGTAATTAATGATCTAATTTGGTCAACACTAATACCACAGCGGTAATTACAGTAAACACATACGTCGCAGAATTTGTTAGATAGCAAGATTTTGGTTCTGTGTGTTTAAGCCAGGGATTGTGCAATTTCACAGATCTGTGTGGAGTAGTGGTTCCAACAGTACTCATGGGATTGCTCATATTATTCATGTATAATGGATTCCTATTTTCTCAGTAAGGCCTGGGTTTTTTAACACTTTGTTTGCCCTCCTTAGTAGTATCAATGGACATTGATCTTCAATATGTTTCCCCCTTACACTGCAGACACAAAGCTAGATAATTTCTAACTTAGAGATGTTTTTGAAACATGCAATGCTGTATTATGACAGCTATTGCAACATAATCCATTGGTAGAAAACTCTGTTTCTAAATATATTCTTACATAAACTAGGAGTTAAAAGTTACACTAGTGTACATTACTAAAACATTTTTTAAAAGGTGTTGAGCATGGACAAAAAGCATGTATGTAAAGACATGTTAAAAACTTAATTTAAAAATCCATGCTTTCTGTACACGT